GTTCGTGGGTCTCCGACTCTGGCTTGTCCAGGACTGTCATACACGGTGTCTGCTCCAGCTAGTAGGAGACTCAACAGTGCATGTAGTGCCCAGCCTGGACTGGTCAGAGTGGGCGCCACATGTGACAGCCCTGGACTGGCTGGAGCATGCTAGATCCAGCATGCATGGGGGGACATGGCCTGGTTCCATGCCACTCACCCGGCCCATGGGGTCAGATGAATCTGACATCCCAAGCTAAACAACAGTGTTGGCACAGGAGCAAATACATTAGGCTGGAAATTGGAAAGTGGCTTCTAACAAGCAGAGCAGGATTACTCTATTCCAATAGGAGTAATAAGGAGAACAAGCTCCAGTGGTTTGATAAAGCTCTTGTTTAAATGCAAGAATGTGTGATACATTTGCCTGAGACAACAGAGGACTGGACTTCATAACCTGGAAGACCCCATCCAGTTCTGTGGGGTCTCCTGTACCTCATGGTAGTGTCCTAACAACTGAACCAACCTTCCACTAAGGACTGTACGTAGAGCTGGTCAGTTTGACGTGTTTATATATGGGAGAGGGTGCAGGGGGGTCACTGAAATTCATAACAAATTATGAATGCTTTCCCTGTTTGTCAACTAGTTTTGGTAAGACTACAGTTCACTGCTGTTTAGCTGTTTTCCTCCCTCCCTTCAATCAGCATACCTCCCTCACTTCCAGTGTCTGCCAACTAAACACTTCCCGTATACACTAGCAGTTCAGAAGCCTTCCCCGAGACTGCAGTGCTTAACAGATGCCAGGAAGTGCAAGAGAACGGTATAAACCGTATCGCTAGTAAGCTTCCTTGTGTGTGGACAGCACCACACACCAGTGCCAGCCTGAGAGGAGAGTGTGCGAGGCCAGCATTCTGCACCGCCAGCCCAAACAGCCAGCAAAGACTGCTGTCACCAAACTCCCCCCTGGCACAACTCCCGTGACACCCATCAGGGATGACTCCAGTTTCCTCACCTAACCAGACAGAAGGTAACACAGGTGAATTTCTCAGGGATGCTGCCAAAAGGTGACTGAATGTCTCCCCCTAGTCACTGCCTTCAGTATTACAGCCCAGGCCACACCAGACCTCTTCATCGTCTTCTGTGCAGGTTCGGAAAGCCAGAGCTCATCGCAGAGGCTGGGCCAGGACCGTCGAGAAGAAACCGCACCTGCTGCGTGCATCGGGCCAGCCCCATTAGGCCGCGCGCAGATTGCAGCGCCTGAACAGCCCGGATCGAAGTGTCTCAGGGAGAAGCCACGTGTCCTGTGAGCAGCGCCTCTCCACCTTAGGCCCAGGGCACCTCTCAGCAGGCGGAAGGTGCCCCTGGGACAATGCCACCTTAGTGCCCCGGGGGTTTGCGACTATGGAAAAAGAACAGAGCCATTGTTTTCTGTGGCAGAGACCCCAGGGAGAGCAGCAGCCGCGGCGCTGGTGGCCCTGCGGATTCCTGTTTGCAGTCTCGGGGTTTCTCTTGCGAATCCTGAGTGGCACCTACCTCACCTGCCAGCACTGCCCGGCACCCCACCCCGGGGTGCCGCAGCGGCCTGCCCAGCAAGCACAGCCTTACCGGCGCCTCTTCACAACGAGTAACACGAGGCTTGCAGCCGAGGGGCTTCCCGCCAGGCCTGCACCTGGCCCTTTAAATCTCCGGGGGGAAGGGGGAGAGGCTTGGAACGCCCCTAGACGCGGTCTCCGTGGAGACCAGCAACATTCCGCTTCCCGGGAAGCCCCGTTAAAGGGGCCGCCGCCCGGGGTGCGCGGAGCGGGGCTCCATGGAGGCGCCGGGGCGCGGAGCCGAGCAGGGAGCAGTCCCCGGGCCGCGCGGAGCAGCCAGGTGCGGCG